CTTAAAAAAATAAGTAAATAAATAAATAGGAGGTGGTGAAGTAACCACAAAAAAAAAATCTAGACCTTGTTTTAAAACCTATTTCCATAAGGATCAGATATATATGCATCAAAACAAAGTAAGAGAATACATGATTTTCCCAAGGCATGTAGAGCTGCCCAATGCTGAGTGCTTCAATTATAATCTGGGACCTAGGAAGTAGGGTGTATGCCAGGGCTTCTGATTGAGATGGATATTTTGTAAGAAAAGACCACAGATATTTGAAAATATATAACCTTGTAAATAATAAATATAATTTTACTACCTTAAAAAAAACAGCACTAAGCATATAATAATAACTTTGAAAAATAAGTATTCTTAATTTTGTTCTTTTTTATATGAACTCAGCATTAGAAATCATCTGAGGTTCTTCTTTTCTAGTATATGCTTGGTTATGTCAGATCTTTACCCGAGGCCCATAAATGGAATTTTGTAGGTCCATAAACCTTCTAAAATACCACACAACATTTTATGGGTATTTATGTTTTCTTTGGGAAAAGGTCAGTAGATTTCCTTAGGTTCACAAAGGGGTCTATTCTCTGAAGGTTGAAAACAACTGAGCTATTCAGACTTGTATGGTTTGTGGGTCTCCTCTGCCCAGAGGAAGGGCTGGGTGAATGAGGAAGGCATGCAGGAGGGCTCTATAATGTGGGTGGACAAAAGGTGGCCATTTGGTGTTGAAATGCCTGCAGTCAGCCTTCTTTACTCACCAGGACTCACCTATCTCAACATAGCAACCCAACAATTTCACATGAAGGTGAGAGAGAGAAATTTGAAATTATGTCTGAATTTAATGACAGATAATATGCTGCATGCTATGAGGGAGGAAAAAACTGGAAGGTTAGGGTTTCACTCCCTTGACATTTTGAGTCCTGGAGAGGGCACAAAGGTCTTTCAGATCCTTCAGTCATGACCCACATAATATTTTTTTTCAAGTGATAATTGACAACACATTAAATAACAAAGTAGCTGTATTTAGGATGTTTTACACAGCCATAGGAAGGCCTGACTCTTAAGAGCACATTGTTTGTGAATGAAGTTTTTTAGTTCTAAAACTGATCATGGTTTAAGAGTTTTACATGATAATAACACATTTATGCAGTCCTTGATAGTTTACAAAGTATCATGTTAGTGTATGTAGCTAGATATTAACAAGAAAGGAAGCAAAGGAAATCAAACATTGTTATTCCAGGAAACTACAGCTTCACACACTCCAGGAAACTACAGCTTCACACACTCCACAGTATTGCCCCACAAGGTTTAACACTCCTCCCTTCCCCGCTCTGGTCCTGGATTAGGAAAGGGGGTGCAGGGGGAGGTAAGCACATACACAATAGAAGTCAAAATGGCATAGGGGGAAGTGCTTGACCATAGAGGCCTGTCAATCTAGCCTGGGGAAAGAAGAGATTGGTTGGGAGGTGAACCTTAGAAGTCATCAAAAGCTTGGGAAGTTGATTGGCTGTTTTGAAAAAGTGCCTGATCCTTCCCAAGCCTGAGATGATATAATTCCAGGGAACAAGGAAGAGCTCTCTCTCACCCACTAACTCATGCTCACCACTTGAGCTAGCATGTTCTCTTTCCATAGCTTTTTCTTGTGGCACTGCCTAGACCCCACTTCCACAGCAATACTTACACCACGTTCTCAACAACTGTGTACTATTTTCAAACATAGAGGAGGCTCTGAATGGGTTTACCTCTCTTTGGGGGAAACTTGAGCAATTTAGATTGATTTCCTAGAAATATTTGCCCCAGCTCCCTTCGGGTTGACATCTGATGGTTTCCTCAGTTACTGAGTCCTCTTCCTGCTATTTAAATCTGCCTGCTCTCCTCCTAGCTCTAGTAGTCATTTAATAAGACCTGAGGAGCTAATGTTTTTCTGGCAAACCTGGAGGGATACTTTCCCTTCTTTCATGAAGACTGGAGAACTGTTAGCAGTAAAATAATCAGGTTGATGTACTTTAAACAAGGCAGCTGGTTCAAAGGGGAGTTCTTAGGGCACCAGTGAATGGCAGCCTGTCCATGATTGATGCAAATATTTTACTGATGTTACTACTTGGTCTGAATACAAGACAAAGGTAGAAAAATGTTCCTTAGAGATGATAGTCAGCTTTGAATGGTCCTACTGCAGTGACAAGTCTCCAGTGAGCTGGAAAGCTTGCACTAGGAGGATTCCAAAGACTTGATAAATCATGAAAGTTTAGAACTTCACTGTGTCAAAGGGGAGAGTGGTATTTATTAATTTGACAAATATTACTCATAAAATGCAGGGCATCATCACAAATGGCAATAGAGAAAATATTTCAAAGCTAAGGACAAAATAAAAAAATGTAACTACCGTGAAATGAAGGAACCTTTCAGGAAAGTTTGACACTGGCTATGTATGCCAGTATTTCTTATATTATATTATGCAGGAGAAAGAATAAGGAGCAGTACAGGAAGCAATTTTCCGCATACTGTGTAGGCAACTAGTACCAAATGTCTGGCCTGACTGCCCATCATCATTCTGGCTGCCACCGTGGTGGCTTCTGGGTATTCATTCCTTTGGGTTGTCATGGAAGGACATTGTTAAAATGTAGACAGTGTTAAAATGGGTAACAGCCATTTCCATATTTGTTTATACTAGAATTTTAGAAGTTAGCAGAAACCATCCCCTGACACAATAGGCCAGAAGACTTAATGATGAGGACAGGAAATGTCCAGAATTGGAGACACAATCTGGAGAGAGGGATGAGGTGCAGTCATGAGGACACTGGATTTGAAGCAAACACCAAAAGGAAGCATGGAAGTTTGGAGATGACCACATTAGGAATACTCAAAGCTGGTTTTGCAGACACCAACCTTTTCCCCTAGGAATGCTCTGTTGATAGTTTCTCCATTTAAATTAATGGAATCACATATTCTGTGTCTGATTGAAGACAGGTAGCCACCTCCTCTTTTCCCTTTATCACCATTGCCCCACCTCCTTTGTCCCTAGGCCCCCCTCTCAAAGATATTCAGGTTGCTTCATTGACCAAATGAGTAGGAACAAACAGAAATCCCAGGTTGTGAAGACTTAAAAACAATTTTGAAATTCTACTGTACAGTGTCCTCTTTGCTCTTGGATGTGTTGCACATTGTACAGCCATCTAAAAATCCACATAGCGGTTTAGTGAGGTTACAGAAGCTGGGTGTCACCAAAGCAAGTATTTGAAAGAAATCCAACCTTATTTCCACTGGAAAATGGAACCTAAAGAGCTGGGAAGCTTGGAACAGTTGTAGGAAAACACTACATGAGCTCACCAAGCCTGGAAAAGGTGTCATGTATGTGGTTGGCCCCATATAAAAGTCTGCCTTTTTTTTTTTTTTTTTTTTTTTTTTTTTTTTTTTTAGTTTAGTTTAGTAACATCTAGCTCAATCCATTGTTTCAAATCACTTCATTTTCATAAATCAAGTTTAGGCTTATTAGCATACAGATGGGGATTCTGGATTTTTTAAGTGAGAATTCTCACTTTGCTGTGTTAAGCAATCTTTTGCTTGCCTGGTGGATTATGAAACCAGATCTAACCTCAGTTCTGCACTCACAACAGTAAAAGATAAGGGGGAACAGAATTACCTTTGAATTTAAATCTTAATATCACCACTTACCAGCTCTGTGGCCCCAGGCAAATCACTTAATTTCTCTGATTTTTTTTTCCTAATTTGTAAAAATCGGGATTATAGTTGTTATCAAAAGAAGGTTGTCTGAATTAAATGAATTCATATTTGAGGAACATGTGTGGTAAAATACCATGAAAAAAGCAGGAATATTCCCTACAGAGGTGTCTCAGATTAACATTAATGGGAATTAAAAAGGTGGTCAGACCTTCCCCAAAGGAGGTGGTCAGACAAAAGAAGGTAAGAGAGGGTCCCTGAGAAATGAGATTTATTCAATATATTGTTTTAGGTCCTAAGCTCTAAATTAGTTTAGAACTTGGATATCTTAGCCAGTAATCAGTACCTATTGAACACATGTTTAAAACGGAAACTACATTTTCTGGAGGAATGCAGTACGTGGAAGGGCAAGTCAGCGGACTGAACTGCTTTTCTGGATTGGGAACCATGTGAGTGTTAAGACAATGGAAGGGCTGTAGGAAAAGAAAATCTGTGATCTTTGGGTGCATTAATAATGCTAGTCCCTTGTGATTTTCGCTGGTTTTTAAAAGTCATTTGCTTCACAGACTCTGAAACCTCTTTCCGAACTCCTAACTAATGTGAAAGGCATCTGTGTGAAACAGCTAGACATTGAACGTTTTCTTGATGCCTGTACTGCCAGTGACGCAGGCCCATCCTTCATCCAAGACCTGGACAGCCTCGCTCCCACTCTGCTTATCCAGGTCACTGTTACTGGTATTTGGACACTACTAACTTGAATATCTCAAAGTAAGTCAGGTTTACTATTTAGCCCTTTAAAAATAAGTTCATGAGTAAAAAAACAAAAAACAAACAGGAACATATTCATAGAAACATGTAAATGATCATTTCACTTGTGAAGAATAGTCCTGTTCAGATGTTAGCTAAGAAGCTGATGCCGAGCTCTGAGATAGTCTTTGGAAGTCAGAGTGGATTTTCTTAAGCTCGCTTACTTCCATTCCTGGACCAAAATTTTTATTACATGTTACTTGTTGAAGTCACTTCTCTTTCAGGATGGCAGCCATCCAGAAGTTGCCTGCCCTTATGGTTGCATGTCTTTTCAGTGACTTCATATGTAAGTTGGCAGAGTCCTTCCTGGACACCCCTCTACTCTCAGTGACTGCAATCACAGTACCAGTTTTTGTTTGTTTATATCCTCAATGAGCACTTTAAATAAACAGAGACAGGACGGAGAGGGAGGAGAGAAAAGGATGTTGGAGATTGAGGAAAAGATCTGAAATAAACAAGGCACTTTGGAGTTCAATCCAGAAGCTATTGCCTTTCTATATTCACTAAATTTCCTCCTCTCTTACCATTGCATGATTGAGCCACACTGGAAAGATACCATCTAGGGCCTCAGGGTAAACGAGTTCTCGATCGTAGAGAAAGAGTAGCCAGAAAGTAAAAAATACAAACTGGAAAATAAAACATAAAAATAGCATTAGGTTTGTTTTCAACCAGGGCTTTTTAAGAAAACATAGCAAAGTAAAAATAAATACCAGTTTTAAAGACATTATAAAAATGTAAAATAAAAAAAAATTTCCATATCGTAGAATTGTAATATCAATTCTCTGGGGAGTCTGGAGAGTTAGGGATCAATTATTTGTCATTATGGCAGGCAGAGGATAAAGATAAACAGGATTTGCAGACCATTAAGTCATTTCATTTTAATCAATGACCTCTCTTCTTTAAGCTCACCAAGAGTGCTGAGAGCAGCCACATGGAGTGCCTTGAGTCTTACACTTTCCTTGCCCACCCCCCACATAAACATGGCAAGGGAAAGTAGGAAGGGGAGGTGGGGGTAGTGACAAACTCCCAAAATAGTTAACTGAGAGTTGGATCTCTCCATTGCTCAGAAGTTTAGGTTCATCCCCATTCTCACGCAGCTCTTGGCTGTCTTTTCAAAGTGTCTGTGCTCTGTATCAAAGTCAATGAAAAAATGGGGAGAGAGGGGACTTAATTTTCCAACTTTCTTATCTTCTTAAATTTCAAAGCTTCAATCTCCAAGCCTTAAAAAATGAATAACTTCCATTGTTATATAAAACTCGGCCTTTAGATTTATGGGGGTGACTGGGGAGGTATCCTGCAGAGGGAAAGTGGAATAACAGTACTTATTCTGCAATCTGAGAGCTTGGAGTTTGGAGAGTTTCACTTTGCATTTAAGTTTGAAGTTTCAATACTTTAGGAAGCAGGACAATGACAAGTGGAAGGAGGTAGTCATGTCTAATTATAGGTCCTGATGGGCAGCTGGCTGGCTTGATCAGTTTGTTCCCATTCTAACTAACGAATGAAAACATAAGCAGTGTCATAGAAGTGTGGACAGTGTCAGCAAACAAGCTTATTCACCCTTGTGTAAGTCTTACTTCTTTCCAATGTCCATTCTTACAACAAAATGAATGAGGCACCTATTTTGTGCCCCACACCAGGTATTTCAGACAGATTGTTTCTCGTTTCAATTGCTGTTTTCATGTGCCAACTTTGAAATTTCCATTCTCTTTTTTGTATGGTTTCTACTTGCAGAGGTAACACATGCTTATGGCAGCAAGTGAAACAACATGTATAAAAGGGACAATTAGTTATCTTTCTCCCTAGCACTCTTCATCCCCATCACCCTGCTGGAACCAAGGTTATTCCAGTTTAATTTTGATTAAGAAAGGCCCTTTAAACATCCCTATTAGAACAGCAATAAGGATTTTGCATCAAACATTCACAAAGACACAAAAGCTAATGAGAATTCTATCAGTATTGTGCTCCCTATGCAGATCTCAGGACATTAAAGCAAATGCAGTTGCTCTGGTCTAAAATAATGGACTCAAAACAGCTTGCCACCCAGGAGACGCATACATCCGTATGCACATGTGTATTGCGTTGCATATACATTGTTGGAACTCACCGTGGATATAGGAAAAGCCAGTGTGGTGAAGAGCAGGTCTCTGAAGGCAGTTATGAACTTAATGTCTTTTTTCCCTTTCATTTTCTTCAGCACATCTTCCAGGCAAGCAACCCCAAAGAAAATGGCCTGCAAGAGCTAAATTCATTACAACAAATGAGGGTGTTTTCATTTGCTTTAATTAATACATTATTCACTGACGTAAAGCTCTATCCCTCTGGGAGCAATGTGGATTTGAGAAGGAAGGATGATGTTGGCTGTTTTGGTTGAAAGCCAATTCAAGGGCTGCTCTTCCAGCTCACTGGGCCCTGACCTTGCTCGCTAAAACCGATTGAGTAAAATTGTTTAGGGGATAATAATGTGTACAGTATTTAGTGTAATGGACTTGAGCAAAAATGGAAGCAAGCAAACAAAAAAGTCAGCTTAAAAGGAGAATGCAATGAGCTAGATATCTTGGCTGGGAAAAAAATAAATAAACAACACAAGGGCAGAGAGCCACATACAATGATGGTGGACATGTTCTTCCTAGAAAGAAAAATTAAGAAAAATGCCTAGTGCTGCAATCTAATTAGAGAAGCCAGAATTAGGGTCAAGAGCACCATAAAAGAGCTCTTTTCTCTCCTGGAGGAAACACACAAAATGCATCTAGCTTATTTGAGGGAGAAGACAGTATTCTTCTTTCATTAAAAGGTGGTACTGAGCCACCTGACCTATGTTGACTTAGTGGTTAGAGCATTGTCCTGCACATCGAAGGGTCACAGGTTTGATACCCTGTCAAACATGTACCTGCAATGCAGTTTTGTTCCCCAGCCCCAATCAGAGCTCATGCAGGAGGTAACCGATTGATGTGTCTCTCTCACATTGATGTTTCTCTTCCTTTCTCTTTCTCGCTCTTCTTCCTTCCTCCCTTACACTCTCTCTAAAATTAATGGGGGGGGGGGGGGAGAGATGTCCTCATGTAAGGATTAACAAAAAAAGAAAAAGAAAAAAAGAAAGAAAGAAAGAAAAAAGAGGGGTGGGGTTGGTCCCTGAGGCCTTACAGAGAAAATCTGTCTGAAAAAGTGATTTAAATCTACAGAGATACAGCAAACCATAGACTCTAGTCAGTCACTAACTCCTGTGAATCCTTAAGGTCAGCAAAAAGAGAAGAGGGCCTTTTCAAAGGAAGTAAAATCACATAAAGGCAAACTTTGCCCACTATTGATTGTTGTACAAACCTGTGTCTTCTCATACAGGGTTGGGGTTGATTTTGAATTATGCTTGCATCAGAATTTATGGAATTCCTTGAAAGCTCTGGATTGGTACGAAAGGGTCAGGACTCTGCTCTGAGAGTGTGTGTCAGGCAAGTTTTGGAACCTGGGAACTTGATAGATCAAGTGGGCTATTGGGGAATGACCTCTGGGTCTGAACTCTAGGAAAGCTCTAGCAGGGCTGGCCTCCTGACATCCTTAGGCTGAAGGTGTGAGCGGGAGAGGATGCAAACATGAACTAGGTCAGGGATACTCTCAGGTAGGTCCCTATATATGCTAAAGTTCTAAAACCACTGTATCACTTAAAAATCCTAGTGACTACTCAAAGCTATAATAGCTATTTTTTAATGATGTCTTGTTATATATCAGGTACAGATCTAGGCTTTTAATTTCTAATTAACAACCTTATGAGGTAAGTCCTATTATTATTCCCTCTCTTGACCTATTTTATAGATGAGGAAACTGAGGCATAGAGAGAGATGAACAAACTTCCCTAAAGTGTCATAGCTGGTGTCAGTCAAGGCCAGGATTTGAGACTCAGAGTCTGGTACTTGAGCCAGACTTTTTTTTCAAAAAAAGTATCAGATTTATAAGAACAGTTCAGATAAAGAACTGCAGGAGGTCAGAAGAAAGCCAATTATCCATAGGTAATTAAAAATGAGAGAATTAAAAATGACTTCAAAAAATACTGTCTGGCCAGCATGGTTCAGTGGTTGAGCATCAATTTATGAACCAGTAGTTCATAGTTCAGTTCCTAGTCAGAGCATATGCCCGGGGTTGCAGGTTCCATCCCCAGTGTGGGGCATGTATAAGGCAGCCAATCATTGATTCTCTCTCATCATTGATGTTTCTCTTTCTCTCTTCCTCTCCCTTCCTCTCTGACATTAATAAAAATATATTTTAAAAAATAGTGATGCCTGATTTCTTCTGATCCAGATATTCTAATTTAATGGGTCTGGGGGTGTAGCCTAGGCTTCAGGATTTAAAAAAATTCTCCCAAGTGGTTCTACTCAGGGCAGCTAAGACTGAGAACCACTTGCCTAAAGGAGCTTCCACTTGGAAAATCAGACTTGGTCTTCTCAGGAGAGGTAGAGTTGTAGAGACGTAGGAAGTTTAACCCTATCGGTGGGATGAGATGAGAAGAGAGAAGTGGGAAGTGAATGCGAGTAAATGCATCTAAGATACAGAAGAGGTAAAGAGCCAGCAAAATAGCAAGGAATGATCACATAGTGGAAAATCAGGAATGTACCAGAAACTCATGGTCCCAGAAGGAGAAAGCTTCAAACAAAAAGAGGGCATTCCAGGGAAGAGTGGGCAACAATTTTATATTCCATGAAGAGGTTGCCATCCCAATACTTGTCATTTGCTTTTGACATTTGGTCCCTAGGGCTATAGAATTTGAAGTGCAGTCTTTTGCACATGGATATGAGAAAAAGTCACTCCTCCTCTCTACTCCCGTCCTCAGCCCAGCTATTTAGGCCACAGCAGGCAGCTGCTTTAGTTAGGAAAGGCAGGCCTGGGGCTCGGGCTCTGGGTGAGAGAGCCTGCACTGTTCTATCAACAAAGCAATTAATCATGTACTGAGCACTGAGTGCCTGCCAGTTTTCTCTCTTTGGGGAGAGGCTGCCTCCACCCAGCATGTGAAGTCCATGTGACCACTTTCCTTAGCGAGAGCCTCCCCCAATCACCATGAGCCAAGCCCCTCCTGACTTTCTTTTTCCTTCCCCAGTTGCAGAATGTGGAAATTGAATTGGGGGAAAGAACACATTACTCAGAACTTCCACGGCTTCTTCTTCATCAATAAAAATTGGCTCCACACCATAAACATGTCAATCACTCCTCCCCCTTCACCCTCAGCTCACATATTATTTCACAGGCATATGCCACAGTGTAAAGATACCAACTTCCCCAGTAATTTTAATCTGCACTGATGTGCCATCATCTGTATCAGCCAGGAATATTATGGAGCCCTCACACAGGAGCTCAGGAGGGAAGAGCTAGGGTGTAGCCAAGAGAAGTAAATAGGCAAGAACTGGGGCACAGAGGAACCACACAGAAGAGCTGGAGGGCAAGGAGAGGGAGGACCATGGCCTCACTCAGTGAGGAGGCTTCTGGAGGCCTCAAGGACAGGTTTGGATCAGCTCACTGAAGAGCACAATGGTCTGCTCTGTCTCTAAGGAGAGTACAATGGAAGGTTTTACAAAACATGCATGGAAAGAATAGTCAAGGGAGAAAGCGGTAGTTGTTACAGGGTGAACTGTGTCCCCTGACATAAAATTGATATGTTGAAGTTATAACTCACAGTGCTCAGAATGGAACTACATTTGGATATAGGGTCTTTAAAGAGGTAATTAAATTATGACTGGTGCCTTCATAAGAGGAGATCAGGACACAGAACTTAAAGGGAAGACCATGTGAAAGCATAGGAAGAAGGTGGCCATCTGCAAGTCATGGAGAAAAGTCTCAGGAGAAATCAGCCCTGCCAGCACCTTGATCTTGTACTTTTAGCCTCTAGAACTGAGAGAAATAAATTTTAAGGCACCCAGTCTGTGGTGCTCTATTATGGTAGCCCAAGCAGAATAACACAGAAGCCTTAAAATAAGATGGCAACAACTGGTCTTATCTTAATAACATTAATGTCATTTACATTTTTCAACTATTTTGACTTCCTAGGAAAGCAGAATTAATGGTATCCTCTTGATCAAGTACCACTTCAGAGCTGCTCTCTAATTTATCTTTTCTACCAGTCCTTCTCTAATTATGTTTTTGTGTGTGTGTGTGTGCCTTTTTCTGAAATGCTGCTGGTCCTAGTTGGTTAAATGTCTTCCATTTTGTTGCTTGCTGACAAACTTACCACCTGGGAGAGCTGAATATACATTTTTACAACTAGTGAAACTTAAGACAGAAACTATAGCTAAAGGATATTTAATTTTTATATTCATGTGACTTCACAAAATTCACAAAAATCTTGAAATCACGGAAACTTAGTCTCTCTAAGTTATCAAGTTTATGTCTTCACCTTTAAGCCAGAATTAAACCATTGCAGGAAATGAAAATTTTTGTATGTAAAAAATAATTCCAGAGAGGGATATTCCACAAGTTTCCTGAGCAAGACATTACAACACTTATTAGATGAGTCAAGTAATTCAATGCCCAGCTCAGCACTCCATGACTGACTTGGACAGGCCGGTACTTTCTTAGGTCTCACTTTGGAAATGATGTAATACTTGCAATGAGATACTATTTCAGAATAAAAGCAAATAGGGACTAATTGTAGTGTAGTGGTTAGGGTGGTGGCACGAGGAATAGGTAGAGGAAGCCTTTGTCAAGTATAGATATATTTGTATTATATGCATAAAATATTTCAATAATCAGTAATGCATTTAGTTTACTATTAAGTAAGAATTTGAAATAAAGAATAAGGAAAAGAACATAAGGGAAGAATACAAACTGGACTGATAAGGGGAAGGGGGAAAGAGAGAAGAAACCAAGAACACTAAGGGACAGGTTGGGATGAAGAATTATAAGACTGCTTAATAGGGCCAAAACTGGTTTGGCTCAGTGGATAGCGTGTCAGCTTGCAGACTGAAGGGTCCAGGTTCGATTCTGGTCAAGGGCATGTACCTTGGTTGGGAGCACATCCCCAAAAGGGATGTGCAGGAGGCAGCTGATTGATGTTTCTCTCTTATGGATGTTTCTAACTTTCTATTCCCTCTCCCTTCCTCTCTGTAAAAAATCAATAAAATATATTTAAAAAAAAGAAAAGAAAAGAAAAAAAGAATGCTTAGTAGTATGGCTATAGGGTAGACTGTCTTACAGACTGGTCCCTAGAAAATGGCACTTACTAGTTAAAAACATGCTCTTGTCATTTATGCATGCAACCAACAT